TATAGGGCACATCAAATAATTCAATTAGAAAATACGTTTAACAACAGCAAATACCTGTCGAGGACACAGCGAATTAATCTTTCCGAACAGCTGAATATGACTGAGAAGCAAATAAAGGTGTGGTTCCAAAACAGGAGGATGAAGCACAAAAAACGAACTCGTTTGGATCGTCCTGTTAGCAGCAGTGACTGTTCCTATACGATAAACAGTTCACCAGCATCAAATCCTGTTCAGGGTCCAAGGCAAATTCAGATGTACGAACATCTTCCACCGTTTACTTTTGGTAGTAATACAATTGAGCCCAATTCTACATGTCCTCAACCTATTCCCAATCAGCTCAATAATAACTTGTCGGCCTCAGAAGAAGAATTGTTAAACCTGTCAGATATGAAATTATATGAATTTGATTTTGACGAAGTTGCAAATGTATTAAATGCTCTTGGTTAAATTTATACTACTTTAAGGGTTAGTGACGTTTCGAAAAATTGTATCAAACTCATTAAAATGAACCTGATTATAATTACTAATACGTACGTATACGTACTTATTATTTCTGTGATGTACCCTACTCTAATACACGATATTGTTGTTGTTATTAGTTAGGCAAATTAAAATGTTCCAAAATTCAAAGGTTAAGTTCAATTTGTATTTATTTTTCACTTAATTTTATCCAGAAGGCGTTCCATGTCAAAGAGACATTACTTTAACCACGTACGTACTCTAAGTCCTAAAATAAGTCCAGTTTGTTTTTCCTATACAGGGTGTTTGGAAAATGCGTTACGAAATTTTTATGGATGATTCTCCATGTTAGAATGGTAGAAAGTCCCGTAGCAAAAATTTGAAATCTGAATATTTTCCTAATTACGACTCTCAAACTAATTTCTCTGCTGATAATTTTTGACTTATTCTGAACAGTTTTTCGTTTCATTCATCAAGCTTATAATTACTCATACATTTAATACCAATTCGTTTCCTGGGTTTCAGTCATTTATTTACTTCGTTGTTTCTGTCTTTTTCCATTCCATAAGACATGTTAAAATTGGCAACAACGTATACACCAGTAAGTAGTTTTACAACACTATAGAATGAGTTCTGGTCTGTTCCGAAATATTGTCTTCCTGATTCCTAACCAGTTAGTTCAATAATTTTTAGATAATTTTAAAATGTCTTAATATGTATAAACTGTAATAACGAAGTAACTAAATGACTGAAACCCAGGAAAGGAACTTGTATTAAAATTGAATTACAGTCAGGAAAAGTAACACGAAAAATTACTCATACTGTGATTTGGTCATTTATATAAATAAAAGCGCCCTTACCAGATTGGTGATTAACTTAACATTTGTAAAGTTGAGCTACGCTGAAAAGGTTCAATTTTTTCATACATAAAATCTTACCTTTGGTATTCTTAGAAGTTAAATATAATATTTCAAACACTTTTACCTCAAAAGAAGAGTAAATGTTCAACTGTTTGAAACGCAAATTTCTACTTTTTTTTAAGAGAGTATTAAATATAATGGTTTAAAATCTATATATAAATATCAATACTTCAGTAGAAAATCTGACAAACTCTTGGACTATTTCTAAAACCAGCTCCCATGTGAATTATCCCACTAAAGAATGGTATGAGCTAGTAGAGATGTTTCGTACAATTGACACACGTGGTTCTAGTGTTAAGAAATTTTATCTTGCAAAGACAATTTAACTTCACCAAAAGGCAATTGGAAGTGGTTGAGAGATTCCAGCACTTTAAAGATTTAAACTGTTGGTCATTATTGCTTACAAATATCAACCTTCTTAAGTGTCTCTCATTATCTTTATTCATATCAGCACCAGGGGGTAGTTCCGGGTGTAACCAACTGTAACTTTCAGAATCAAACTAAGGTGATACTTTTTTACCTGTAGATATAGGGTTTCAAAAATCACGGTCAAATATTTACTGTGAGGAAAAATCTTAATGCTATAAGCGGCTCATAACACGTAGCTCTTTCTAAATTTATTCAGCAAAAATTGTTTGTGATTTTGCATCAGCACGTCAATGCATTACCTAGCCATTTTAAAAATGTATAAAGAAATATCACAGAAGAGAAGCAGCATGTTAAACATTAAGAGTACAAAAGCCTCCATATGAATTACAATACAAGTGCGGTAAACATAAGTATTTTGTTTACGTTGTAACTTGTATAAAAAACTTTTTGTTTTCGTAACGTTCTGCTCCTTCTTGTGTTCGGATTGGATCAGGCAACTAATCGTTTTTTATTTTTAAAGTGGTTTAAACTTGAAGGAAGGCCTATCATTTTCATGTTTTCGAATAGAATTATATGGTACTGAAATATAACGAGCCGTTTCGGTATGTCAGAATGTTCCTCATTTCCGGAGAGATAAATTATTTTAAACTTCAAAGATTGGAAAATTTTACACTTTTTTATCTCTCGTTTTCCAGGTTACGAAAGGTTGCCTGTTGGACAGTTGACAGGAAAACCTTCGGGGTATGAATGTTTAATTCAATTTTTCAATAGCCGATAAGGAGCACAGCCTCACTCTGATCTTGGTTTGCATGCGGAATCTAAATGGGAGCAAGACAAATTATAATTTGCAAAGATGAACGTTTGCCAGTAGATTTGCTTGTTGCTTTCGAAACATATTTTT